CCACGGAACTTGATTATCGTTGACAAATGTTTACGTTTTATTAGTAAACAATGACTACTTTTTTATATTTCATCTAAGTAACAAGTTTGCCTAAGGTTGCCCATTATTATTTCAAAGTTTTTGTGCATGTGCTGTTGCCGGTTTACGAGCGATTATCAATCTTTCGCACATTTCCGCATTTTGCGTGAAATCCTGACCGCACTGTATGCGCGTGGTCAGCGGAATCTGACTGCCACGTGGCCCTTCTTAAGGTGACGCTAAACATGTAACAGGCCGACAGTCTCCCCAGCCATTCCTAACGAATAGCACTTCAGCCTGTAAAGATTCGCACATCCGCTCACTGCCCCCGGCTCTGACGTGTGCATAGTCTGCTCCGCCACGCACGGTCATGGAGGTCATTCTCATTGGTGCAAACTATTACCGCACCATGGCGGCCCGCGCAACTGACCAATCACAGGCGTCCACGTCGTGTAGTTAATTCAACTGCCAACGTGGGCTGACAGAAGTGCGCATAACGGACCCTCGTCGACTACCCCTACCTTCATACCGCACCTTACGCGGGCTTTATCTCCGTACTGCTTATTGGAACAGCGCAGATTCCTTTTTGTGCGTCGTACAAACCGCTTTCCCATGACGTTGCCCGTCTTATTCTCTACACATTGACTGAGGTATTCGCAAGCTTTCGTTACTGTGCAAGCAACGTTCGCTCCAGACCAATATGCTGGTATTTAGGAAACCTGCAACGGTTCTTATTGACAGGACGGGATTCCCAAGGGCCGTGATACTTTTTTCTGTGAAGAGTTGCGATGAACGCGTACTGCCTTTCCCTTGCCGCGAGTCTACGAGAACGAGACATGGCATACTTTTTTCATACAAAAAATTCACCGAACGTAAAGTCAATTGGGGATCCAAAACGCATCTCTTCTGAATTTCTAGCGCAACGGTTAACGCAGTTCAAATTCCTCCAAGGATGTGTGATTGCTTTTACCGTGATGGCGTCAAAAGTAGCATATATAAGCAGCAAATTCAAAGATTTATGGAAAAGAAAAAGAGGCAAGTTTGTGTACTAAAGCTGAAGATTGCTTGTAGATGAATTCAGAGGAAAGTAGTTTGGTCTGAGACCCTTACAGGTGGAAGAACTGCTTCGCTCTGCTGTAAATCATTGTGACAATCAGGAGACAATTTAAATTAACATCAGCCTAAGAGCTGTGAATAAATGCAGCCTGATAGAACTAACTTGTAAAACGTCTCCATTATCGAGAACTATTTACTAGACAACAGCTTTAAACTGGAGATCCAAGAAAAATGGGAAAAAAAATCACCTAAACTGGTAGAGAATTAGACTGAAGGAGCAACTGAACAATTATTACCGTCTGATGTGCTCCCGGTTGAGATTCAGCTGCAGTAGCTAACTGAGTCAGATAAAAAAAGAACTTGTTATTCCAGTTTTTATCCATGTTTTATCAGTGAATATTTTTAACCCGTCACATAGTCGTCTGTGTGTATAATTAGTTGACATTTACGATATGATACTCAACTTTTCGACTGCATACTAAGGTTTAACTCCAGTAATCACAAAGCTTTTGCAATTTTTTATAAAGCACAATGAGTTAATGACATACTCAAGCCTTATAACCCCACTATCTCCATCATAAGCGGTAACAGCATTACCCTCCATTTTATAAGTGTCGGTATCATCAACATCGTCATTAAAACCGAAACGATTTTGGAGTAAAACGGATGAGAGTTTTCCTGGAATAAGCGTAAAATGAACAGTAGGTAATGATGACTTACCAAGTACCTCCACATCGTAATCAGCGAAAAACATACCCTTAGTTAACAGTTGTGCTTGTCTTAGGATCCACTCAGACGCTTATCTGATCCTTCAAAATACTTTGGAGAAAAAATGGCCTTAATACATGGTGGGCCGCAAAAATAATACAGT